TACGATGTTTTAGAAAACGTGCACTTGTAGAAAATCAAATAACTCCCTTTCAACGTCTACCATTTTTATACACGTTGAATATGATCCTTATCATGCCTCCGTGAAAATCTTTCTCCAATCCCTCCTCCCCTCCCCCAAGAATCGAAATCATTTGTACATGATGTACAACCGCTTGTAGGATAAAAAAAGAGGTGAAAAAAAAACAAGAAAAAACGAAATAAAGAAAAAGGAAAAAAATAAGAAAGAAATAAAAATAGAAAAAAGAAACAAAGAATATGATAGTGATGAACTTAACATATGTTACAATGATAGTTTTAGTTTTGATCGGACTCAATCAAACAACGTCGAGCATTTTACAACACATTAGGAATTTAATACCTCCGACATCCGCATTCTTCTTCCTCTTTCTCTTTCTCTTTCCTTTCCCCTATGTGTATATATCTTCTTGTCGGATACTACTCCGAAAAGCTTTATTTAGAATTCGTTCGATGAAAAAAAAAAGAAAAAAACAAATATATATATATATATATATTCTGACCGATGTATTGAAAAAAACTATAATGATCTAACGAAAGTCCGTTCTTATTACGAAATAATAATAAATAAAAACGATCGACCAATTGCTTCCTCATTAAATTTGTTTACCTCTCTCGAATGATATCGCGAAAAACGTAATACGCAGACAAACTTTTTCAGTGAAAAACGAAGCTGCAATAGAAAAACTATATGTAGGATGCTAACGAGAATAAAGTGTGAAAGAGCAAACGGAAGCAAAAGGAATATAAAGACAGAGAGAGAAAAAGAAAGAGAGAGAGAAAGAGAGAGAGAGAGAGAGAGAGAGAGAGAGAGAGAGAGAGAGAGAGAGAGAGAGTATGAGAGAAAGAAAAAGAAAAATAGCGTATGCTAAAATGAAATGCAAACTTACTCATTCCCAAGATAGAATGGCTTCTCTACTTTAAAACCATATCTTTCAATTTCACCAATTTTTTCCTTCATGTCGATCGATTTTATTGATAATTTGAAAAAATATTCTAACTTTTTAATCTGAGGGTATATTAAATAACAACGAGGATATTTGTCCTTTAGAAATATTAGATAATAGATTGACCCGAGTATACGAATAAAAGAAAGAAATAAAGAAATAGGAATAGAGATAAAGATAGGGATAAAGATAGAGATAGATAGAGTGTGAGATAGAGATAGAGAGAGAGAGAGAGATATGGCGATCACGAAAAGGATGTACCTATTTAGTTTCGTGTATGTCGGACTCCATAAATTTACGTAAAAGCCCAGGACAGTTTACTATGAAGTCAAGCCAAAGTGCCGCTTGACTGGTTAGCTGGGTTTTCTGCTATTCTCGAGATTGTTTGGATAATATACCTAACGGGCGGCTCTCTTTGGCCATTCACATACCAAACTGTCTAATAGCAAGGGCGTACCAACTATGAGAAACAATAAACCACAGGGGAATAGGAACACGTTTGTAAAGTAGGTAGTTTAAATTCAATGTGACATGCCACATACATGCATACAAAATCGAGATATTTCTCTTTCTTTTTCTAGTTAAAATCTTCGGGAAATGTTTCGATTCGATTAAATTCAAGAAAAATCGAAGGTAGAAAGAGAAACAGATAGATCGATGGATGGGAGAAAGAGAGAGAGAGAGAGTGGGAGAAAGAGAAATCACTACGAGTAGAGATTCAATATATTTTCGGAGATTGCTAACCGTTTGTATTCCCCCCTTCGAAGTTTTCATCCTCGATTTTCTGCGTTTTCCTTCCAACATGAATCTTTTACGAGAGAAATGAACTGAATCGTACAGTTGCGAACGTATAAACACAATTTCCGCGGTATTGCTTCGGAAAATAATGCTGAACGTATCGTTTCGACATTCTCTCTCTCTCTCTCTCTCTCTCTCTCTCTCTCTCTCTTTCTCTCTCTCTTACTTTCTCTCTTTCTCTCTGTATATATATGTATATCTATCTTATTATATATTATAGATTTTATTGAATCAAGTAATAATTTTAAAAAATAGACGTGTCTATCGATCTTTAAGTTAATTCACGTTACAACTTATGATTCAGTAACATGAGTTAACTGAATTATATTGTGTATCTATCTATTTCGAGCAAACTAGAATTATAGACAATACATCGGGAATTCTATATATTTACTAATTTACGATCTAATGATTACCAATGGTAGTCTTATCGTCATTAATTCAGATGAATTAAACTGATGCTGTCCCTATTATCAATGTATTATAATATCCATCTATGTAGATAGATATTATTTATGAGAAATTGCCTCTCCTAAATTTGTACGTATAAATCGTGTAAGTCCAACGTGAATGGCACAATTAATCGATCCTAAAATAAAGAAAGTTAAAAAGGAAATTATGAGAAAAAGGAAGAATTGACAATGAAAAAATACAACACATAACGTAATCGCAAAAAAAAAAATGGAAAAAATTATTTATCAAATAGGATGATATCGTGAA